GGGGGGGGGGGGGGCGGGGAGGGACAGCCGGTGCGGGAGAGCGGCGGGGGACGCGGGGAGGCAGAAGCTTGTCCCCGTGGTTATTCGGGGACCCTGAGGTGCCGCACCACACCGAGATGAACGGACGTGCGCCCGTGTATATACACTGTATATGTGTGTATGTGTGCATATGGATATACTTATATTTGTGTATGTACATCCGTGAACGCACCTCTGGTTCTCAGAGCTCCTGGGGAGCCGTTTGGTTTTGACAGCTCGGTTCTCATCTGGGAATGGAAGTTAACGTAAAACGGGGTCGTACCTTCGCACCGGGCACACCCCTGTGAACAAGGAAAAGGGTAGTTTAAACGTGGGGTTTTTCTTCTGTGTGATGGTTATTTAATGAAGGGGATTACTGCTGTTGCGCAAATGGATAATTCTAATATGTTGCTAATAACAGGTCTTCTTATCAGATGTAAGAAAAAAAAATGTGGGTTTCACTCATTGTCTTTTCGGTATCAGATGTTTCTGTTGTGTGTAATGCCAAGGTCTATGAGATCAGTCCCTGTTACATGATCTGATAAAACAGAAAAGGCCAAAATACAAAATGAGAGAACTCCCAATGATAGCTCTTAATCCGGCACCCTTTGGAGATTATCAGTAATAAAGCCAAGGGCCTACTGAGTCCCTTCTGAGACAGAGTCCTGCAGACTTGGGCTGATGCGCGCGTGTAAGACTGGATTTAGGAGTCTCATGTGAATGTATTTTTTTCTTCCCTCAGGTTACATGTCCTGGTGTGTTTCTGCCTGAGGAATATGACATTTTTCTCAGTGTGTGCATCTTGGGTCAACACTAAGAGGCAGAGTGCCTTCCTTCTGTTTTTCCTCTCTTGTTTCATGAGAAGATATGCTTTGAAAAGGTGACTTTCACTTGTTAGATGCCTTGGGCTAGAAGGTCTAATGTCTCAAGCCTTGCACAAGCTGTAATTCATGCATAATCTTATTTTTCTTTACGACTGAAAGGTTAGTCTTGTTTCACATGTGTTTCAACATAATAAGATGTAGTATGAGGACCATTCCTGGAATGGAATAGATTTTAACATTTCTGTAAGATTTTATGGTCTGGAGCTTTGAGAGCAGTGGTTATGAGAGGTCATCTCTCACATGGACAGTTCTTACCTATTCTCAGTAATGGCAACAGTGTACATGAGGGTAATTGAATTTATTCTGTTTCAGATATGATTGGTCTGGAAGCAATGTGAGACCTCAGTTCTAATATGGCTATCATCTATTTAAGATTTTTGTCATTACAGCAGTCATGTGATATAAATGAAGATCCAAATAAAGGATAGACAAATGGTTTTGCTGCCATTTTACATGCCACACTAACACCTGGAACTAGTGAGAACAGGAGTCTTCAGTGAGTTTTTCCTGTACTCTGCTGTGTGCTCATTTGTTATGGTTCTGGTGAATGGTATTTTGTGTTTGCAAATTGTTTTTAAAAGAATGGTGTAAGACAGAATGGCGGTGTCTATTGACAAGTGAAACCATGCTGAAGCCATTGCAAAACAGGAATAGATGAAGTTTAGAGGAACAGTATCATTCTTATCTATTTCTTTCAGACTCTCCTCTGTTTTTTTTCCAAGCCACTCTCTTTACCTGCCTGTTTCTCTACAATTCTTTGCATCTGGCCCACAAGAGGCCTTTCCTTGAGGGACATGATTGCTTTCCCTTTCCCCCTGTGGTTATTATTGACACAAGTGAAAAGCTACATAGTTCATACATCTGAAGGCTATCAAGTATAATTTTCGTTAAGGCCTTCACCCTGCCTCAAGGCGAACACAGCCCTGAACACACGACTCTGCAGTCTCTTTCCAATAAAAGCCCATAGCCATGTTCTGACCAGAAGTGGGTAGTATAACCCACTTGTACAGAAGAGTAACTTCTCGTACATTTACCTAGTCATAAGAGGGATCATCAAATTAATTATCATAAGTAGATATTGTTAGATAAGTTCATCTTTTGTCTTACCTCACAGTAATGTGTTTTTGTGCCTGTGACCTTCATTAGTAGATGTTAACTAGCACGAAGCAACACGTTTTCTTAGGGAAAACATGACTTTGCACAGCCTTCTCAAAAAAGACTATTGCTAAAATATTGTCTGAAAACACTGATATCATTTGAAGAAGAATGTTGGCACATCCAAAAGAAACAAAAACCAGCAAATACTGATAAAATAAGTGGAATGCAGCTGAGGGCAGCTTCTTTGCATAGGTAGAATATCCAGCATGAATGCCCAAATAAAATCAGTGGTAAAGTTCCCATTTACTTCAAAGGGGTCAGAATTTCACTCCAAGGCATGAGAAGACATAATTCAGTGTAGTAAAATAGACAAGAGCTAAATACAGGCAAATATATTTGAATTTGTTTCTTGAAAGACATTTCATAGATGATATCTTAATTCATTTTATTTTTATAAGATTTTCGGACAATCTTTACACGATACGTAGAAACTTACAGGAAAACCTCCTCACACCTTCTCATTTGTCTATAATCCCTGTGGAAGATTACCTGTGCTTTAAGGTGCTTGCAGTTAGGGCTTTTAATTTTTTCTTTTGGGATGTATCCTATAGGATTGGCCAGGAATTCAAGTGTTTTCCAAACATAAATTTCCTCATTGTACTTGTGGTTC